TGACAACTACCTGTATATCTACTGCATGTACTCAAAATTCCAAAAAATATTTTAGGCATAAAAACATTGCTTAGCCTCGTCCTAAACCTTTATGGTTAAATAGCCTGCTGCTATGTCTGGTGGGCCATATATGATCCACAGGTATAAGATCTACAGCCCTTAAATAGGGCCCCCATATACATAGCATATTTTTGCTGCAATCCTGTGGTTATCTCAAGTCTTGCAATTCAGCTATGGTAACTCATAATTGTCTTAATATGTTCCCATAGTCCTTGAAACTGCAGAAAAGTATGCAGCATAATTTTGAAGCCCTGAGAAGTAAGTTCATATTTGCCTCAGTGAATAAGGTTGCAGGTACTTCTGTTTGTTCAGTTTTCTACAGACAATATAGCAGCAATTATTTGTAGATGTCCCTGGCCTTGTTTTTCTTCACAGTCAATGTCAACTGCTCATGGAGAAAAATAATTACTCTCCTTAAAGTTTGGTGGGATTTGAGTCATTATGGGTAGCTCTGTGGTTGGATGTTTTAGCCACTTTTCAAGTTACTTGAGCGATAGTTGAAGAGTATGGATGTGTTGTGCCCTGATAGTCTATCACTCGGGCTATTTCTGAAGGCAGAACTAACATGCTTCTGGAAGCCCAAATGATGAGAAGAATGGAAAACATTTCTCCCACCCTAAAGATTAGCAAATCTCTGCCCCAAAAAACTCCCAGCTGAAGTTCAGTGGAAAAGGGGATTCTGAGGTAAAGTCCCCCGCCATCTCCAGCCCATTTATATCTGTTGGGCTACTTTGGATGAAAGTTTATCAGTCTTCCAGAAAACCTGTTGACAGTTTTACTATTCTTCTGTTACCTGGGCTAGAAGGAGAAACGGTTTCCCCTTAGAATATTAAATATCTCAGACTTCAACAAGAGAAAGGGAGTGCTGGCAGAGAGCGGTTGCTGTTGACAGCAACTAGAAGTATGTTATGAGGTATGCAAAAGGACATTTGAGTGGGCAAAATGCTATCACGTCCCTCCAAAGGAATTAAAACAGTTAAAATCCCTGCTCGCAGAAGCAACAGAAAATTCATTTGGAATAAAATCAGTAATACATTTGGTTTTTCAATGTAAATCACCCAGGAATCCACAGATAAGATTAGTGATCTTTCGAAAGGCCACTAAATGTGCTTTTCATGTCTACCGGTCTTCAAGAAGACCAATACAGTATTTTCACATGGACATAGAAGTGTTAAAAAGGAAGGTATCTCCTCACAAACCAGCTACATGTAATCTTTGACTTACAACAGTTCATTTAGTGACCATTCAAAGTTACAATGGCACTCAAAAGGGGGACTTATGACTGTTTTTTCACACTTACAACCATTGCAGCATCCTTTTGGTCATGTGATCAAAATTCGGATGGTTAGCAACTGATTCGTATTTATGACAGTTACAATCTCCCGGGGTCATGTGATTCCCTTTTGCGACCTTCTGACAAGCAAAGTCAATGGGGAAGCCAGATTCACTTAACTGTAGCAAGAAAGGTCGTAAAAATGAGTCAAAACTCACTTAACAAATATTTTACTTAGCAACATAAATTTTGGGCTCAGTTATGGTCATAAGTCAAGGGCTATCTGTATTTGGTTTTTCTGGCGAATCAAGCCAAAATGACCATTAATTGGCCTATGACCTAAGCCAATACAAACTGGAAACTTGCAGTTGAGAACTGCAGATTGTGACTCCGTACGTAAAACAGCATTTAATTTACAATAACTCTATGAGTTAATGTAATATACCGTATTTTTCTGTGTATAAGACGCTATTTTTTCCTGCAAACACCCAGTTCAAAAATTAGGTGCGTCTTATACACGGAAAAATAATGGTAACCTCCACAGCCCAGGGCATGCCTGTGTAGGTTGCCATGCTGCCTGGTGCAGGTGTCAAGCCCCTATGGGCTTGCCACTAATGGGAGGGGGAGGGGCAAGATCGTCAGCCAGCCGAACTTCTGGATTTGCCGGCTCAGCTGATCGGCGTGGAGAAACTCGCATGCCAGAGGGTCTTATACAAGGGTGTGTCTTATACACAGAAAAATACGGTACATGTCCAGAGCTTGTGCATAAATAATTGAATCCTTCTTTTCAAACGAAAAGCCTTTTATTAATCTATTCCATTCCAATGTTTCCCAGCCATGTGAGTTGGGAGTTATGGGTATCGATGTCTAATAAATATACAAAATGATATATTATTTACCAGTTGCTCCTCCAACAAAAAATGACTACATTTTATTAAACATCTGCAGTATATTAAAATTAGCCTTTTCATCAAATAGTCAAGTAAAATATATATTTTTGCTGTTTAATAGTTCTCAAGGGAAGATCTATGATTGTGTTATAATTACTTAATTGCTAAAGGGTAATATAAACAAGCAAAATCTACTTTGTGGAAAGCTGCTCTATTTACAGTTAAGCATATTTATAGTCATAAATATTTTAGACCTATAAGAGGCCTTGTGTTAACTGTATCTCGGCAGAGTACAATAATCCACACTTTTTCTTAGAATCATGTTCAGTGATTTGGTTTAGTTTTCCTTTAGAGGAAACAAGATAACTTTCACTCTCTAAGGTCTTCTCTTCTACGTCCCTAGATGATATTAGCTTCGCACTCTACATAAATAAACTGCACTGCATATAATTACCAGATTGTTAGAAAAATGCAAGATGCAGAAGGCTCCTATAGACGTGCATTATTTCTTATGTGTTATGTATTGTATGTTCCCAGAGGACCCAATTCTTGTTTTAAGCTCAGTAACTGTCTATAGTAGGATGGGATGAGAGATAATAACTAGCCTAAAATTACTCATGACCTTCATGGTGATGTGACTCTACTTGAATCTGATCTTTTTCTTCCCAGACTAACATTCAGCCTTTTCTCATCTGGCTACAGGGACCGCAATCTCAGAATTCCAAGCTGCCTATGACTATACTATAGAAACAACCCACATCTGTAGCTCCTTTCACCTGAATCTACCGTACCATTCTCAAAGGAGCACTTGCTATGCAACCAAAGCAAAGCTTGATATTTTCCACTGCAGTGAGTGCTTGTAAGATGGAAAGAGTAAGACAAAAGTTATCAGGAGAAATTTCCAGCATATATTTATTTAATAAGGCCTGCAACTTGTTTAGGAAACTGAACAATTATGCTGGGAGTGCATGGCTGTGTCTCTTCTTTTTAAGACTTCCTTATTGATCATCATTAATGGAGCCTCCTAGGGCTACACTCAAAAACATTGGAAGAATATTTTTTTATTATTACTCAAAAAACTTGCTTAAGGCAATACTCATGTACCTGGGCATACAGATATACTTTCTGGCTGTGAATGTTTCTGTCTACATGCAGTGGGGAGCAGCTCATCCTTGAAATAACAGCTTTATGAGCCCATTAATAGTCACCTGAGCAGACAGCCAAAAGTGGAAGTGAGAAACTGGTTGGGAAGGAAGGAATGGTGGCGGCACTTTCCAGTCACTGAGGTGTGGAATAGGTGCAAAACAGAGTTATCTCATAACTGCAGGACCTAAGGAAGGAGCCAGTTCAAGCTGAGGCACCTCATTCCAGTCCAAAATCTCCTCCACTAACACAAGGGTATTAAAATGATAGCAGGGTTCCAATATCTCAGGGGCTGCCACAAAGAAGAGGGAGTCAAGCTATTCTCCAAGGCGCCTGAAGGCAGGACGAGAAGCAGTGGGTGGAAACTGATCAAGGAGAGAAGCAACTTAGAACTAAGGAGAAATTTCCTGACAGTTAGAACAATTAACCAGTGGAACAACCTGCCTCCAGAAGCGGTGAATGCGCCAACACTGGAAGTTTTTAAGAAGAAACTGGACAGCCGTTTGTCTGAAATGGTGTAGGGTTCCTGCCTGGGCAGGGGGTTGGACTCGATGACCTCCAAGATCCCTTCCAACTTTATTATTATTATTATTATTATTATTATTATTATTATTATTATTATTATTATTATTATTATTATTATTATTATTATTATTATTATTATTATTAAGGTGGATGGCATTGTTCCCCTTAGACAAACCTCGCATGCTTTTGCAATTATTTTCACTGCTCTGTGTCAGTTCTTAACCAGTCCTTCCCATTGTTCCCAGTTGTGCTCCAATGTGGTTGTGCTGACTGAGAATGCTCTGCATTGCAATATACTAGAGTACCTGGCTGAAGAAGACTCCTAGGAAGGTTATCGGGGTATTTGTACTTGAGGCTTGAAGATGCGGGCGAAGTTCAACGCGAAAAGGGAAAAGCATCCTGTCCTCTAGGAGGGAACACTTCAGTCCCGCTCCTAACAAGCTTCCTTCCTTCCTTCTTTCCTACATTTTGCAGGACCGAGCGCCTGAGTCGACCCTGTGCTGGCCTATCGTTGTAGTCTTGGATTTGAAGGGCGACCATTGATTTGATCACACTTGTCGCTCCGTCTTCTCAACCGAGACACGCCCCGTCGAGGTGCAACGGGCTCTGGGGAATATTACTGAGAAGACGCGAGCTTTCCCAACGCTCCTCTTTTAAGTCTGGCTTTCGGGGTCTATTTTTAAAAACGTTAAACCCATTTACGGCTCAGGGGAATCCATTCACAAGCCTTTAATCCCGCTCATCGGATTCTCTGAGCCCGACGTTCGTTTTCTTTCTCCTGCCTACGTGTCTGCGCTCCAGGCGTCGAGCCTTTTTTTTTTCTTCCCCCAGGGCGGTTCTGGGCAGAGCTCGGATCCGAGGACCCGTCTTGCTGACTGCGCCCCGCGCCGCCTCCCAGGGCACTTTTGGGAGGGAAGAGCCTACTCGGGGAGTTAGCAGCAGCTGCAAAGAGAACGGCGCCCGTTTTTTCCCGCCATCGGGGAAAGTTGTCCTGTGGATGTTTTGCGAGGGTCGGCATAGCAGTTTAAAGGGCCGTCCATCTTGCAGGTGACTCCTTCCTTCCTCCGAAGCTCCTCAAGGTGCCCGTAGCCTGCTCGCTCGCTCGCGGCATGGTGGACTTGTTCAGCGGGCGGATCCTGGTGAACCTGGAGGGCGGCTTCGTGGATCCCGAGCAGGCTTTGGAGAACAAAATCGTGGGCTTGTACTTTTCGGCCGCCTGGTGCTCCCTCTGCAGGGACTTTACCCCGACGCTGTGCGATTTCTACAGCGCGTTGGTGGATGTCGTCGATAATCCGGCCCCTTTACGGATCGTCTTCATCTCGTCCGACCGCAGCCGGGAAGAAATGGCGAGCTTTATGTACAAGATGCACCCGGGCTGGCTGGCCTTGCCCTTCCACGACCCCCTGAAGCAGTGAGTACGGTGGGCGCCTTGCGAGCTGAGGAAAAGCGCTCTTTCCCTCCTCCTCCTCCTCCTCCGCTTCCCCCCCCCCCCCCGTCAGTCTTTTGCTGGAGTTGAGCAGGCAACTTTTTGGTCAGCTCCTCGGGCTTGGCGCCCTCCAGATGGCTCGGCCTACAAGTCCCATAATTTGAATGTTTTGACGGGGACTATGGGAGTTGTAATCCAGCCCATTCGAGAGGCACAAGAATAAGTAAAAAACACGTGAGATGCAGTGATGAAGGGACCACGGGGAGCTCTGGCGAAAGTGCTTTGAATGGGCTGTCGCAAAGTTGCTTTTTCTGGAAAGCAGCTGGGCTTTCTTGGTTGTTGTTGTTTGTTTCCCCCTCTTTGAGAACGTTTCGCTTCTCATCCAAGAAGCTTCTTCACTTCAGAAGTGATTCTTCAGAACTGAAGAAGCTTCTTGGATATGAAGCGAAACGTTTTCAAAGGGGAAAAAAACCCAAGAAAGTCCAGTTGCCTTTTCGAAAATGCACAACCATGATGATTGAGAATTTCCATTAACTTTGAAGGACTGTTCCACAACTTCTGGTGCAGTGTTTATTGATCACACCAATTCTTCTTGTATCCCTTCCTTATTCTCCCTGTGCCTACAGCCCTCAGTGTTCTATAAAGTTTTCCAATAATAAAAAAGCCCTCACGAGGGCATGATTCTTTTCCCACTGGAATAGCATTATTATTCAGAAGCAAAAAAAAACCTCTGTTGCCGAGCACTCATTTTATCATTTTTTAAAAATGCATAAATATTTCTAAACATGCATTTGTGACGACGAATGGCTCCCCAAAGTATGTGTCAGTGCTGAAGAGGAAGAGAATAAAGTACAGTATATGGATATTAGCCAGAATTTAGTTATCTCCTCTTCAGATTTAACTCTTATACTGTAATGGAACAAGAAAATAATGGGGGGGGGAATAAAAATAGGCACTTAAGAAAGAAGCCAGGATGCCCCAGGCACTTTAACCAGTAATCATCCATTACATTCAGGCAATCATATAACTCTCGGTTAGTCAAGTCATTAACATTAGGCCAAAGATTTTACATTGCTATGCGGAGAGTTATTTTGCTGGTAGGTACGACAGAGAGCTTGCAATCAGAAAGATTAATTTTACCCTTGTGCAAAATCTTATCAGAGATAATAGCTCCTGAACTCCTTTTAGCCTCCAGATTTTCCTACAATTTGGGATACATTTTGAAGCTTCACAGCATGGAGATCAACCCTGAAGTGTCTTTATATGGTTCGCTGTTCATTTGCAAATAAATGGGCATGTAAACAACAGCATGGAATACTGTATTCTCTGGAGCTACGGTTCCCCATTTCTTGCAATGGGCATCTTTCTTCATGGGATCACATTTACCAGATTAATAGTTTCCATCATTATGTGTAATAGTATACTGATATTTGTTTAGCTACTTTTAAAGGTAGCACCCAAACTTTCCTTTCCACCCAGTGGTTTTAAAGGTAGCACCCAGACCACTATGGATATAGTAAAATGAAGGAGGTTGCCTGAGAAATGATAAGCCTAGATAAGGTTAATTGGAGCTAGATACTGTAAGAGTTAAAGGAATTCAAGAGAGTTTTGTGGAAAATAATGACTCCAGGCTGATTCCTGTCTTCACTCCACCCCATGCTCTACCTGTCCTTCTCCTACATTATTTTTATTATTATTATTATTTCGATTTATATCCCGCCCTTCTCCCGTAGGACTCAGGGCGGCGGACAATCAATTAAAATACACAAATAACAATACAGATTTAAAATTAATTAAAAGGAATATTAGAGAATTGTCCAATTTAAAATATTGATTAAAACCCCTCTAAAAATTACCCTAGGCCAGTCCTGCGAGCTGGAATAACC